GTTGATGCCTGATACGGCCACTGCTGCAAGAATCTGTCAATATACTTTTAAACTTCCCCGCCGCAAATTGCCGAAAGTCCCCAGTTGAAGAGAACGAAGAACTATCGTAGGAGAAAGCGTCGGAAATCACGAAACAGAATATTAACCCAAAGTAACAGAGTATACACTCCATCTTTTACTGAGAAATCAGACAAGCAGACACTACAGGTGTGAATAAACAAAAACGACAGAGAAGACAAAGAATGGCACCGGCAGAAAAACGGGTGACAACGAATACCTCCAATGTTGACATTGTTAACGTGAATGAGAGAATAAAAATAAAACATCTCAAGTTCGTTTACTATCATCAAAAATCTTTCACCCACCTTGAAAATAAGTCAACCGGAAACAAGCTAAGGTCTTAAAATCGGTATTATACGATTTGTTTTCTTTTCTTATTTTATCTTCCCGTTATTTTACCCATGATTTTGCCGCAGTTTTTCAGAGAGGGAACAGAGCTACCGTCGTTAAGAAAATTACCTGCTCCCTCCCATTCCTAGCTCCCAATCGTAGCTCAGCGGTGATCTAATTTGTACATCGTATGTTGAAATTCTTACAGGATCAAAGGTTTCCTTTATCCCGGTTGGTTCATTATCCTGTTTCCTTTCTAGAGGGCAATAGTCCTAGAGATTTCACAGGCTTCAAATTCACAGTAGTAGTTATATAAGTTTTATTGCTGCTACGCGGCTTGATTTTATATCATACTTTAGTATAAATGTATTAGCGTTCTATCACGAATGCCGTTCGCTGATTGGCTACGCTACTCACTATATATTCTGTTGTAGATAGTGAGCAGCCTAGCAGTGTGCGCCTGTCAATGAACTGGCGGCCGCTTCTTTGCGTTTCCGCGGTGTCAGAGAGGAGGATTTAGATAAGTTTTGAACGACTAGTATATTTATACTAAAACAATTAGATTATTCGCTCTCGATTTCCATGCGTGATAGAAATCTCGAGCTCATGATCGAATTGTTTCATATATTGCACAGCTGTAGTCCGAGCCTTGTCTAAAACAAACCTGGAGTTCTTCTTCTCGCACGCTAGTAATGCGGGCCCTGTACCACTTGTCGTCCTTG